AAAAGCGGAGCTCCCGATGTGTAACGTGTAAGATTGAGAAGATACGCTTATTCCACGTAGCTGCTATATACCACGTGACAATGGTGTTTCGCTGCCCATAACACAACTTTTGTCAAAGGTTAATTGGTTGCATGGAAGTGTTTACTTCGTATGAGTTTTTCTAGGCGGTAGCACACGGTTGCCATCTGTATATCGCAATAATAATTTATAAACCAAAATGAATCACAATTTGTGACAGTAGATGGCGCTATACCCGCTTTGATGTTTCTTAGCGATGGCATTCGAAATAAATAGGTTATGCTGCATTCCGACATGTTTTGTAAAACTTTACTCTAATATAGACGTTTTATCGGCAGGGTGGAGAGGAAATACCAATTTTGCATTAAAGATATTGTCAATGAAATCTTGTAAAACGAACCAGACGAGTGTGACACCACACACTGTTATCTGCGTATCTATATAATTGCCAAAACCTACCTAATTTGCACAATTATTTTTTTAAATAAACTCATTTTTGGTATGTGAATGAATAAGGGCTGGCCCCAAAACGTATTACAGGGGCGGTGCTCGCATTGGGGTTCGTGCTGGATAATAGGGATCTGTGGAAAAACGCACCATAAACCCGCCCTGAGTGCATCACTCAGGGGCTCCTCCAAAGAAAAGAATTGATTATTGTATCTAAGGTATCACCTACAGTACAGGGCTTTCGATGTCTGTCCGAGTTTATCATGACAGTTTCTTGCATCTTGGACTTGGCGACTGGTCACGACTCGAGCCTGAGGAGTTCATTTTAGTGACACCGTCATTAATGCGTAGTGCGCATCAATAATAAACCTGAAACCTAAACCGTACGACGTCATGTACTTACTTGCAACCAGGGAAATTTTTCTGAAGACTCCTGCCATTTGTAAAATCCGTTTAGTTACTATTAGTATTACTAAACAAGAAATGATTGCCCTTCACCTAAAGATGGCGGTTATTGTCGTGGTAAATAGTTACCACGGAAATTTTCGCCAGTGTAGACATTTTTCTAGACAACGCTGTAGCGAATCAATAATGTTTAAAAAAAATACTTAGCCGTTTATTAAAAAAATAATTTTATGTACAGATAATAGGTGTATGTTTATTCTTGTTTAAACTTGTAAACACATAAACATCTTATGGAAATTTAGTTTAATTTCTGCTGTACGCAACTACTCATACTGACACCGTATTGCTTTTACAGCGCCACCAAGCGATACATTTCTATACCAAATCACTGCTGTCGCGTTGAAACGTCTGAATTTATTTATCTAACCTCGACGTAACAGAACCGTATCTGAAGCAACGTGGACATGAAGTTACGTTCATCTAGGTAGCATATGGATGTAACATGGGATGACGTGTAATTAAAACCCAAGGACACGTGTAACAGTGTATTGTAGTACTAGTACTGATGGAGAAGCCTGTGTGGAGCAGAGGTCGCGGCGCTGGCCGAGGAAGGGGTGCAGGTGGACAGAAGCAAAGTCATTTGTCAAAAGTCGGTTCACAGAAAGAAAGAGCGGGTAAACCATTGATAGTTTAAAATACGATATAATTATAAATTCTAAAAAAATACAAAAGATAACTAGTAAATGACTAAATCCTAGTGACTGGTGATAGTTATTATTAAGTCTCAATACAGATTATATTGTGATTTAGTGATGCACTGATGATGCATGGTCTTTTGACGTTTTGTTTAGCCATATTCCATATTTCATTCTGCCATTCCACCGTGTCAGTGTCAGTGCCACTGCCTTTTAAGTTGTAAACTAAAACAATCAATCACATTGACTTTCCAGTGACTTCCGAGAAGTCTGTATGGGTTTAGATGTCAAAAAATATCACATCTATTTATATATTATACCGTACACCTTTTTCATTCTTCTTTTACACAATTCTCTTGATCTCATAAAATTAAATGTGTGTTTAAATAGTTAAGATAAAAAATAATCACAATACTCTGCAGGAATACAAGTTGCGGAGAGTACAAGTGAGCAGAAGTTTAAAGATGCAGCAGCCAAACACCAGGTGGCGCTGCAGCGCTTTGCTGGTGCAGATGATAGCGATTCCGAGTCTTCAGAGGATGAGCTCGAAGATGAGAAAATAATAGAACATGTCTTGAAAGAATACAGTGGTAAGTGACCATGGTAAAATATTTTGGAATGTTTCTTGGAATGTAACTTGCATACGTTGCTAACTTTCCATACATCGCATCGCATTGCATAACCGCTATACATTGTGTAGGTAACACACATACAAACTATACTATACAGTCAGGTTTTAGGTCATCATTTACAGCATGAGAAGAGGTGGGGGGGGGGCAAAAAAACCTACCAATAATGACTGACATTAGTGGCACGAACCGTTAATTATTGGTAGCCGTGCCGTGTGATGCCGAGTGTAGCGTGTATGTACTTGTAGAACAGAACTACATCGATGGTGGTGGAGGGAATGGGAACGAGGAAAGCCTGCGACGCACACAGCAGTACCTTGCCGAGACATTCCAGTCCGGAGCCGTCGTCTGCCTTGTCTGCATCGAGTCCATCAAACGAGTTGATGCGGTAACCATGGCAACCGATAAACGCGCGTACATCAGCATGCAGATGCTTTGTAAAATATAGTTACCACCAGATTTTTACTAGTAAGGTATTGATAGGTAATGGATGCAGTGCATATTAAGTGAGTCTGGTCAGTGCAAACAGTTACGAGTCCACATGAAAAGCCATAAGAATCTCACATATATACATGTAAGTGTGTAGAAAGCAGCAGATGTGTTGATTGAACATGCATTATTGTTGTTACAGGTGTGGAACTGTGGTGGGTGCTATTGTATGCTGCACATGCAGTGCATACAGAAGTGGGTGATGGAGGGAGCCCATCATTCTACGTCACGCCTTTCCGATGACCTCTTCCCACAAAAGGAGGTCAACTGGTTCTGGTATGTGACAAGTCTACCTGAATACAAATCTTGCAAAGTGTATCAGAAATAAGGATGTGAGTCTACAACTGACTGTTGTATGCAATGTCTGGCCTAAATATAACATCGTTAGACCAACATTCTGCTACTAAACTTAACTATATATCCCTAACCCTGACCCTACCCCTAGCTCTAACTATACTCTTACTACTCTTAACTATGACCCCTAACCCTAACTCTATCCCCAGTCATGACTCTATCCCTAAACCTAACTCTACTTCTAAATTTCACACTGACTTGGACTTTCATTTTCATCTACAGCCCAAAATGCCGCAAGGAGTACACTCAGGCACAATGCCCCTCCAAGTACATGTGTTTCTGCGGCAAGACCCAGGACCCGAAGCTTGACCCATGGACTGTCCCTCACTCGTGCGCGCAGACGTGCGGCCGGGACCTGCAGCCAGCATGCGGTCACGCCTGCCTGCTGCTGTGTCACCCAGGACCCTGTCCGCCCTGTCCGCAGGTGGTGAAGACGACGTGTCACTGCGGGCGCGGCACGGCCGTGCCTCGGCGGTGCGCGGCACGAGCTTGGAGCTGCTCGAAACCCTGCGCGCGCACCCTGCAATGTGGCCAGCATGCCTGCACTGCTCCCTGCCACCAGGGGGCGTGCCCAAGCTGCGCAAAGGAGAGTGAGCAACCATGTCTGTGCGGAAGAGAGACGGCCGTTCGGCCGTGTGCGGCGCGCGAGTGGCAGTGTCAGAAGGTTGGTCGATAATGCTCAGCTTCATTGCAAGGAGGGAGTAGATTAATTAGAAGGAGGTTGTAGCTTTATTAGGAGGGGTAAGATCAATTAAAGTAGACAGAAACTTTGTTAAATGAAGGGAGTATTAAGAGGGAATTGGTTTGTTGAATGGAAAGAGAAACTTCTTAAATGAAAATTTTCTTATCATTGCAATACAAATTAAGGTGTGGAGGATGTTGAATGTTTGAAAGCTTTTATTAGCCCTTAACTTGTTACCTGTTATCCTTGCTGAAAAATTGTAATTCTTGTCTAATGATCGCTAACCATCGTCTAACAATCTTTAACCATTGCTTAACGATCTTTGACTGTTGCCTCAGGTGTGTGGACAGTGGCTGAGCTGTGGTCATCACAAATGTGAGAGCCCGTGTCACAGTGGGGACTGCGGCCCATGCGCCCGCGCCACACAGAGGTGCTGCCCCTGTGGGAAGACGCGTGCAGCTGAGCTACCATGCACCGAGGACGTGCCACCTTGCGGCGACACCTGTGACCGTTTGTTGAGCTGCGGGATGCATCCCTGCTGTCAGCGCTGCCACACCGGACCCTGTGGCAAGGTTAGACGTTCGAGACCCGTGCCTACTGAAATATTACTCCGATCTGCAATATTTCATGCTACTGGTGTTTTTTTATATTGTAAGCCCAGCTGTATCTAGTGAGTTTTTTATTGGAACTATTAAATTAGGGCTGTGATCAACACTGTGTGATACCACCGTGAAGTTAATTTTGCCAGAGAGGTTTAATTGAATGCTACGTCTAGGATACCTATACTATGTCGTTAAGCATTTAAGTAAGATATACCTACCTGTTCGCTCATCATTTTCGTTTGTTCTTTGTCGTTCTGATATAATTTACCTTTCTAATGTGCATAACTACTCGGTGTTATTTATGGTTTAGGGGTTATTTGTAGATTCAGCGTTGATTGTACAGGTTGTCACTACGTTTTGTGTTAGACTGATGTGTCGTGTGTGTTTTTAGTGTCGCGAGACAGTGGAGAAGACATGTTTGTGTGGAGCGCGTCAGCGGGCGGTGCAGTGTGGCAGTAACTATACCTGTGACCTGAAGTGTACCAGGATGCGTGATTGTGAGAAACATCAGTGCAAGCGCAAGGTAAACATCTATTGTTCTCTCTCTCTCTCTTTTCTTTCTATCTCTCTCTTTCCCTCTCTCTTCCTCCCTCCCATCCTCTATTCTTCCTTTCATCCTTCCTCCCTCTCTCTTTTGATCTCTTTTTTGCTCAGGCTTGTCACAGAATCTCTTAGATAGTTTTATGATTTCTCTTCTCTCTTTATCTTTATTTCCCCTCACTGTCTCTCCCTCCCCCTCCCCTACCCTGCCTCCCTCTCTCCCCCTCTCTATCTCTATGTCTTTACATATCACGTTTATGTGTTACCTTGTTTTCATGTATTTCAAGCTGTGCGGACTAATATAGAGATTAATAATATAGAGATAATATAGAGACTAATATAGAGCTGTTGTTTTGTAGTGCTGTGATGGGGATTGCACACCGTGTGAACTACCATGTGGTAAAACGCTATCCTGCAGAAACCACAAGTGCGCCGGTCGCTGCCACCCCGGTGAGTGTGACACTATGCACGCAGCCAGTGTTTTTTTCTCACCACATTTTATCAAGGTAGTTACTCCGTGATATCCATATCTCACATGTCAGCAAGCAACACTGATTATACATGTGCGCACACATGCTTAGACGATTAAGTGTATTTTCTTGTGTTTTTTTGGGTAATATATACGCTGCATTTTACCATGAAGTTCAGTTGTATTAGTATACTAATACACATCAGTTCATTGTGATAAGCCAGCTTTACATTTCGGCAGTCATCGTGGGTCATTGTGGAGCAAGCAGCAAACTGACTCTTGTAGGCAGAAACACTGCTGCTTGCTGCCCTTAATTTCGAACCATGCTGTGAGCCTGTGACAGGTTCTTGCTTGGTGCCCCCGTCTTCTATCACCTGGCTATGAAACACGGTTATCGAGTGTGCACCGGCGTAATGCAAAACTGGCTTATATGGCAGAGGAATAATATCGATGTGAGTCGTAGCTGGGATGACTCTGTGCTGCCGTTTACGATGCAGGTCCGTGTTATCCGTGTCCGCTCACCGTGAGCATCTACTGTTCGTGCGGCGGCACTAAGGTGACGGTGCCGTGCGGTCGAGAGAAGGTCACCAAGCCCCCGCGCTGTCACCTGCAGTGCAAGTAAGTGCACAGTCATCTTAGATGGTCAACGTTTGATAAAGCATATGTTAAAGGAAACGAATGGAGAAGAGCGGTGAAATGGTTAGGGGTGCTTATTCGATCTAATGCAAGTTTTGAGATGTGAAAATGTTGGCTTAGAGATGCCTAAAACTTTAATATAATAACGATGCTAATGATAAATGATTATCATCGTCTTCTTCTCCTTCTCATTCTTCTTTTTCTTCTTCTTCTTCTTCTTCTTCTTCTCCTTCTTCTTCTTCTTCTTCTCCTTCTTTTTCTTCTTCTTTTTCTTCTCCTTATTATACATTAGATGCAATCCCATTCATCCGTCGTCTGTGCATCCAGCATGTAAGAACGTTATGTCATCCCTCATGAATATCTGCTGTGTTTGCATCGTCGCGGCAGGGTTCCTCCAGACTGTCACCATGCCAGCAGACTCGCGCACCGCTGTCACGCGGGCCGCTGCCCGGTGTGCAGGCAGACGTGCGAGCTGCCGCAGAAGTGTGGTCACCGCTGCCCGCGGCCGTGCCACACGGCCGTGCTTGTGCGCAAGCAGAGGAAGGTGGAGCGAGCAGGGCCGTGGGAGCCTCCTCCGCAGGTGCAGATGTTCGTTGAGAAGCAGCCCTGCCCACCTTGCCAGGTTCCCGTACGGGTGACCTGTCTGGGCAGACACGAGGTATGATCGCTGTGGAAGTTTACTGATGATGCATATTAGGAAGTAATTGTTTGTAGAAATGCATGTGAATGATGACTAATCATCACAAAATAAGGGGTATTGGTCAAGGATGGTGTAAACCTTCTGATACTTTGCCGTTATTATCGCTAATGTGACTATATCGCTGATACAATGTTGGTATTGCTCGCAACCTACTTATTTTTCTGTTAGGTGATGGTATTGCTGACATTATGTTCTTATTACCTCTGCCCAACGCAGTTGGAGGAGGTTATGTGATCGGTCTCATGTGTTCGTGTGTTAGTGTGTTCATGTGTTAGTGTGTTCGTGTGTTAGTGTGTTCGTGCGATCGATATTAGCGCGTCGAGGCAGCGAGCCAGCGAGCCAGCTCGTAACACATACATGTTACATGGGAGCTACGCTGCATGGGAGCATGGATGTTACGCTGGCATATATTGTGGGCTATTCGTGTGTTCGTGAGTCGTATATCGTATCAGTAGTGTCATAATATAGATGTTCTACTATAGTGTTACTTTAGTACTATAGTTACTTTACTATTACTAATATGTTATACTATAAGCATTTAAGCAATCATCGATTGCTTAAGCAATCTCTTCACTTCTATCAGAGCTACGATAGTATGCTGGCGTATATCGTGGGTTATTCGTGAGTCGTATGGCGTATGGCGTATGTCACTGGCGGAGGTATGCACTATCTGTGAGTGCACTGTATAGTTGCTTGTGAAATCCTGAATGTGTTTGTAATGTGACGGTATTTTGTATAATGTTGTGGTATTGCTTATAACATGATTTTGCTAATTACATGTCAATATTGCCTGTAACATGTTGGTATTGTGTATAACGTGCCGGTATTGTGTGATGACAGACAAGCACGATGGGATGTGCGGACGCACGACCGTATTCCTGCTGCAATCGCTGTGGCCGCCTTCTCGCCTGCGACAACCACAGCTGCCAGCTGAACTGCCACCTGGTGTCAGGAGCGACAGACGATCAGAGTGCCGGCGAGAATTGTCAGACTTGTGACGTGGCATGCGACCGACCGAGGCCGAAAGGATGCAGCCATCTCTGTCTGCTACCCTGCCACAATGGTACAATAGCACGAGTGTGGTGGTTGTATGATGTAGTGTGTATATAAGTACAGTCAAACCTGTGCATGATGGCCACTTGAGAGAAATGACAAAAGTGGCCTTTGTAGACAGGTGGCTGTTCTATGGAGGTGACGCATAACGCCGGTTTGATGGTACATGATGTGCAAAATTATTTGTTCTTTCTTATATTTTAGTAAAGACAAGATAATTCATAAGATGTATTGTATGTTTGTGCATCTTGTAAGGTATGTAATCTGTGGGTAATGCGAAAATCTGTGGGTACTGTGTACGTGGCTATAAGTAATATATCGTGTCACGATATTGTATTTGGGATAATCACACGGTTATATCGTATCACGATTGTCTATCTTGTATTCACTAGGAGAGTGTCCACCGTGCAAGCAGATGGTCAGAGTGCGCTGTCACTGTCAGATGCTTAACCTCTATGTGGAATGTCACGTGTGGTTGTCAGCCAGTGAGAACGACAGAGAGATGCTGCTGTCGTGTAAAAACCAGTGCCCAAAGATGGTAAGTAATTCAAGATGGTAAGTAAGTATGGTAAGTAAGAGAGTAAGAGGACTTCTCACTCTCGCAACCTCTGGTCGACAGTCTAAAAAACTTAAAGTTAGTTTCATGGTATAATCATATGAAAGACATCCTGCCTGGATAGCGATAGATGTAAAGGTGAATCTGGGCCTAGACTAAATGCTTTCCTGGTTTCTGTAGCTTGTGACACTGTATAGAGACTGTAACACCTTGTCAGTGTGAGGGAATGTAGTGCAGCTGGTAAACCACAAACAATTATTACCCTTACCCTTCACACATCATTCACTAGAGATAGTTAGCTGTACTAACTAGAGATACTAACTAGAATTAACTAGAATTACTAGATATTAACTTTTAATGGAATTACTGTGATATCTAACTGTGCCTTGTGTGTGCATTGTTGTCACTTACGTTGTAACGTCATACTGCGTAGCTGCCGTGCGGCCACCGCTGTACACTGCAGTGTCACAGCACCAGCTGTCTGCAGCCGTCCAGCTGCGTGGAGAAGGCCAAGCTTCGGTGTGCGTGTAAGAGGAGGAAGAGGGACTTCACGTGTGCAGCAGTGCGCAGCGGGACAGTCACGCTGGAATGTGACGCAGCGTGCACGGAGAGACAGGAGAAACTAAGGAAGGTTCGCTGAGTAGCACTATGAACATAATTTATGCCATAGTACATACTATGTATAGATATGCTCGTGGTATTATACATGTGAGATTGAATTAATTTTGAGGTGAATCCAATAAATTTATGCGTCAGTAGAACGTGACAAAGATTTCCGCATATGTCACTTAGGTAAATGTTTATCTCGCAATTAAATTTATGGCGTGATGAAATAAAATCTGTCGAAATTATTCCAAGAGTAATATACACATCATCAACCAAAAAATTCGTCTCCAGTTCCTGACTCTGAAGAATAGCTAACTAGCTCTATGTCAGCATGCTTGTGGTAGTGATTGGTTGAACCATATCACATCTTGATTCCTCAACGACAAAACATCCTACGTTTGACATGATGGTTTCATATGATCGATGATATAGCTAATCACATCAGACACAGTTACGTTGATATGTTGTTAGGGATCTCATTGAGGTAACAGCACAAGTTAACATGTAAGATGACATCCGGTGAACGGCATGTAAAACTGCCCGTAGTGCCCCCCTCCCTTTAAAATACCATGCTTATGCTTGAGCAGCTATGTAGTGCCAATTGTTCTCTCTTCTCTCTGGCAGGAGAAAGAGATTGCAGAGCAGCAGGCAGCACTGCAGAGAGAAGAAGACGCGAAGGCAGCGCTTGAGGAATATGAGAGGCTAATGCAAGGTCCCAAGAGGAAGCCTCGTAAGCGAAGGCAGGTCGAGGAGGAGATCAGCATCTGGAGGAAGTACCTTCCTCACATCGTCACGGCGACTGTTCTCTCTGCGGCAGTTGGTTACTTTCTGTGGCTTAAATCTACGAGCTAAGCCACTCGTTGTTGTTCAGATAAATGTGTGCTTCCTAGGCGGACTTGCGGCCCCGGTAAGCCGCGCCCCAACAGCGAATACGCCGCCCCCTTTTTGTCCACTTAGACAGATACCTTAGACAGGAGTCTGAAAACGAACTCCGCGAAAACTGGGCGCAATCCAACCGACATTTCGCGATGGACGGCAGGAGGCCATCTCCAAACGGCCCCTAAACTTTTTTGGGGGTGGCGCGCCTCATGGCTAAGACGTAGTCACTCCTACAAGAAACCTCAATAAATGCTGTCAATCAGCGATGATGCGCTCGCTCATTGGCCGCTACGCGATGACGTGCGCTACTGCCGAGTATAGCGTTATGTCTATCACAGAGCTTTTAACGAAGTGTCGTACGGCGCTCCACGTGGGGGGGGGGGCGCGGTCTAGATGCTATCTCCAAAAGCGGCGCCTGGCTGCGTACGTACCACGTTTCGACCAACCTGACCCCGCGCTGCCCGTGGCGACGGCACGTCGTGCGAGCACCTGCGCTGGTGTGGCTGGCGTGGCTGGCGTGGCAAACCAGCAGCAGCACCAAATACTGGTCCCTGCAGCGCGGCTCTGGAGCAGCAAAGCAGCAGCAGCAGGAAATGCCCTCTCCCCAAGGTCGCCGTAGTCAAGCCGGTGGACGTCTCACGAAAACAGCGCGATGTTACGCTTCCCGCTATACGGATTCGCGCGCCCGCCCTCCTTCGGCGCGCGAATTCGTATAGCGGGCAGCGCGAGATGCTACATACAACACCCGCGGTCGCGTGCACCCAGTCGCGCGGAAGTGCGCGGCTTAACCGCTCTCGGCGGTCGGGGAATAACGCATCTTTTGCGCAACGCCATCTTGTACCCGGTCTCTCTGGATAGTGGAATCGCTGGATTGATGGATGGTGGGATGGTTCGTTTCTAAATGGCAAGATATATTGTGGAATCAGTGGTTCCTGTGTGGTGGTATCGGCAGTTTCTGTATGGTGGGATCAGTGGTTCCTGTGTTGTGGGATGTTGGCTCCTGTATGGTGGGATCAGTGGTTCCTGTGTTGTGGGATGTTGGTTCCTGTATGGTGGGATCAGTGGTTCCCATGTTGTGGGATGTTGGCTCCTGTATGGTGGGATCAGTGGTTCCTGTGTTGTGGGATGTTGGCTCCTGTATGGTGGGATTGGTGATTCATGGCCATTGCTACTTGCGATGCCTAGCCATAGCTAGCGAGTGAGGGAGCGCTTCGCATATAATTACCATCTATCTTGTTTACAGCTGCTTAACAGTAAAACTCGCGACTGGTTTTGCTTAAACTGTTTGCAGACATTGCTGTGCACTGAATGTTATATCGTACAAGGGGCATGCCACGTTTCCTATTGTATTACCTCTGCTGTGGTCGTGTTGTCGACAATAAACGTGAGACGAAATTAATCTTATATCGTGTGAATGTCTCTGTCGATCCACGAGTTGGCTCAATAATCGTGAATCTGTATGGGGCTGTAATCACGCACAGCCGCACGCACGCACGCACGCACGCACGCACGGCCGGACATAGAGACAGAGAGAGAGAGGAAGATGAAATTAGAAGAATTATATTTACATGCGCGTATATGGTTGGCTGTCGTACTCAGAAATAATTATTTTTACCGCGGTAGAAATAATTCAACCGTGGTTAAATTGTGTACTGCCCGTGACTGGGTAAAATCATTGGTATGGTCGAGGAGTTCAGGTTCAACGGATTTTTCTCATTTTTGGTATGTGAATGAATAAGGGCTGGCCCCAAAACGTATTACAGGGGCTTTGATATTTAATTTTTTTTTATGCAAATTAGGTAGGTTTTGGCAATTATATAGCATATTATATAGACATGCAGATAACAGTCTGTGGTGCACACTCGTCTGGTTCGTTTTACAAGATTTCATTGACAATATCTTTAATGCAAAATTGGTATTTCTTCTCCACCCTGCTGATAAAACGTCTATATTAGAGTAAAGTTTTACAAAACATGTCGGAACGCAGCATAACCTATTTATTTCGAACGCCATCGCTAAGAAACGTCAAAGCGGGTATAGCGCCATCTACCGTCACAAATTGTGATTTATTTTGGTTTATAAATTATTATTGCGATATACAGATGGCAACCGTGTGCTACCGCCTAGAAAAATACGAAGTAAACACTTCCATGCAACAGGGCCGGCGGAGCCGGTCCGGCCAGTCCGGCCATGGCCGGAC